TATGTAACTATGTTTTTTGGGTTTTTTAAAAAAGAATAATTGGGGCGCCTGGGTGGCGCAGTCGGTTAAGCGTCCGACTTCAGCCAGGTCACGATCTCGCGGTCCGTGAGTTCGAGCCCCGCGTCAGGCTCTGGGCTGATGGCTCGGAGCCTGGAGCCTGTTTCCGATTCTGTGTCTCCCTCTCTCTCTGCCCCTCCCCCGTTCATGCTCTGTCTCTCTCTGTCCCAAAAATAAATAAACATTGAAAAAAAAATTTAAAAGAAAATAAAAAAGAATAATTTACAAAACCAAATGATGCAGGATTATGAAATTGATTTAGATCGTGTTCTGTGCGCAAAGATACCCAGCGTGTCTAGTGACCATATGGGTGCTTCGAATCTGAGGACTTTAAAGAAACAAAACCAAGAGGTGCCTGGGTGGCTCAGTCAGTTAAGCATCCGATTCTTGATCTCAGCTCAGGTCTTAATCTCAGGGTCATGAGTTCAAGCCCTGAACTGGGCTCCACACTGGGTGTGGAGCCTACTTAAAAAAAAGAAGAAACCAAAAACCAAAAACCAAAAAAACCCCAGAAACACACAATGACTTCGTGGTAGCATATGCCATTCTAAGCACGGTATGATCTATGCGAAACACTGTTCTACTGTTACAGTAAATATTTTCACAGCCATAAACATCTACTGCGTTTCCACTGTGTAGGGCAAAAACCATAGAGAAATATCAAAGAGAACATGGATCCAATTTTTATAGTCTCCTAAGGATTCCTCCTGAACAGATGCAAAGAAAACATAATTAATCTTGATCAAATTAAACATATCAGAAATGAACAGAGAACTGAAAAAAAAAACCCAGATATGATTAGTGAGTAAATAGTGTAATAAAATAAACATTTGGAGTGGAGTTTTGAAGGAGCATTCTACCAGAATATATGTTCGCAGGAGAAGAAATCGTTTTGTTCGGGGGGTCTCCTCAGTGCTAGAACAGTGCCTGCTACGTTGCAGGGACTCAGAAAATGTTTGTTGAATGAAATGAGCACTAGCTTTGCAGGTGACATGAGGCAGACGTGGTGTAAAGAATGTGTGAGGGACAGAGGAAAGCACATTTGTTTGGCCAGAGCTGAAAATCCAAGCTAGGGGGTCAGAAGACATTAGCTTACTTAGGAATGGGAAAGCTCAAAACAATTGCTGGAGAGTCTTCAAGAACCAGACATAAAACTTGTCACACCAATGGGAGAAGAATAAAAAAAAGGGGGGGGGGGGGCGTCTGACCGTAAGGAGCTCACCCTTTAATTGTAGAAATGACACTGGTGTGCACTAAACTAATGATAAAAATAGAAAGTACCGTGCTAAATATTTGGCACAGATTGGGGCGCCTGGGTGGCTCAGTCGGTTAGGCGTCCAACTTCTGCTCAGGTCATGATCTCACGGTTCGTGGGTTCGAGCCCCGCATCGGGCTCTGTGCTGACAGCTCAGAGCCTGGAGCCTGCTTCAGATTCTGTGTCTCCCTCTCTCTCTGCCCCTCCCCCGTTCACGCTCTGTCTCTCTCTGTCTCTCAAAAATAAATAAATGTAAGAAAAAAATTACAAAAATAAATATTTGGTGCAGATTGCAAATGCGCCATCAGATACTTCTTAATTGACTTTATTTCTTCATAATTAAGACTTCAGTGGTATTATTAGGATTTGGACCCTGCAACAAGGGTGTGGCAGGTTTAGGAGGTTTCTGGGCTGTCACTAAAGGTGACAGGAAGGAAAAGATGCTCACAGAAGGATAGAATTAACAGCTATCTACCTAATCATCTTCCCTGTGACTGTGTGCTCCCAGTGGATATTTAAGAAAAACAAACGTAAGTGAAAAAGGGCTTAGCAATATATCAATACCGTAACGTACCACAACAGAGCACTGTCCAGACCCACAACCTGAAGACATTCCATGAGTCCCTCTGAGCTCTCTGACATTTCCAGGGAAATACCTGCAAAGAAAATTATAGTTAGATTTATATTCTTAACTCACAAGTCTATAGCACCTTGAGGAGATGGCCACGACTCTCTTAAAGTTCAAAATAAAATACATATTCTTACTAACCTTGCCTGAAGTAAGAGGTTTCTTAGATGAGCATGAAAAGGTAGCATTGAATTTGCTTCAAAACTGACTCAAAGTTCGTTCTTTCGTTCTTTTCACGTTTTAGCCTCAGGTTGCTGATTGTTACAACTCTGATTTTTTTTCTACATTTAAGTAATTTTTCTACTTCCCTTCTGCTGAGCTATTAGATGAAACTATTTGATATTGAATATGTATATTTTTTAAAGTGTTTTTGGATGCTTCACGAACTATTGATGTCTGAGATTTAAATGTTAAAATCTTACACTGGAGTATAATGATTCACTGCTTCGAATGCTTAAAAGAATTAGATAGCCAGACACCGATAAAGAAAAGCAATTCATTTTCTTTCAAGTAAAAAAGAAATACATTTTGCACAACCCAAACCACAAATGTTCTGCACACCCTAAAACTGTATTTTCTGAACTATATCACTTCTCAGGTAGCCCCAGTGTTTAGCTGCAAAAGTGCTCATTTCAACAAGAGAGTACTTCCTCAAGACTCTCACCAGAAACGAGTCAATGAGGAGAAATCAGCACATGTGAGAAGAACAATTCTGGGAGCACTCTTTAACTCGGGATTTTTAATTCTTGGCTTTGTGAAAACCAAAAATGAACTCTGCCCCTGCAGTCCCAAGGGCTTCTCTCTGAGCATCTGGAAATCTCTGAGGCTGAAAAGCTCACCTTGGCTTTGCTCATGCCTTCTTTAGTTCTTCCGGACTCCAGCCTCTCAACTCAGCACCAGGGCGTCTGGGTCCTTGCCCACGGCTGGGCTGGGCGAGCTGTGCTTCAGGAGGCTGCGTGGAGTGCCACCAAAAAGGCTTGCTTTCTTTCATTTCCCTGACTCAGTCTCACATCCTCCTCCTCCCCTTCCCCTTACCTTCCCCCATCTCTTCTCACTCCTCTTTCCCCACCCCTTTCCTAGTCTGGCCTCTCTCACTACCCTGAGAAAAGTAGAGCTGCTGACCATTGTTGATAGATTCTCTTCTCCTTCCCTCCTACCATTTTTTCTTCCATCCCCTCTCCCTTCCTTCCTTCCTTCTTTCCTTCTTTCCCTTTTTCCCTGCCTCCATCCTTCCTTTTTTTTCTTCCTTTCTTCCCTCCCTCCTTCCCTCCTCCTCCTCCTCCTCTTCCTCTCCTCCCCACCCCCCATCTCTCTCTCTTCTCTTTTTGAATAAATACTTAACTCTTGGCCGTCCATGGTAAAGGGCCCCAGATAATTGAAAACATCACGCAATTAAAACAGCATTTCGGACCAAATTTGTTCAAGTTCAAATTCAAGTTAGTTAGCATACAGTGTGGTCTTGGCTTCAGGAGTAGAAGAACCCAGTGATTCAGCTCTAACATATGACACCCAGTGCTCATCCTTAATGCCCATCACCCATTTAGCCCATCCCCCATCCACCTCCCTTCCAGCAACCCTCGGTTTGTTCTCTGTACTTAAGAGTCTCTTATGGTTTGCCTCCCTCTCTGTTTTTTTCCTATTTTTTCTTCCCTTTTACGATGTCTGTTAAACTTCTGCTCACCTGACAGGTTGACGTCTAGTTCCTTCTCCCTCTTTCCTTGCTCGCCCCCTAGTGGAAGTCCTCGTTAAT